CTTCCTCATTATATTCAAGAGTAAATGTATGGCTGGAAGTATATTTGAGATAATTGATCAAGGACTTTGCAAGCTATTTGGATACAGCAACTGACAGAAACTCATTGAGATGCTACATGAATATGTTTATGATATATTTGAAGTAGCAGATGGCTATTTGAATCAGGCAGTAATAGCTCATCACCACATAGATACAGGAGATTCATATTTTATCAAACAGCTGCTGTGCTGGATATAGCCAATGCTATGATCCTGAGATACAGCAGTTGTTGGAAGCTGGAATAATATAACCATTGGAGAGTACTTGGTCCTCTTCAGTAGTGATTGTTAAAAAGAAGTAAGGTTCATAAAGGTTCTGTGTTGACTTGAGGCAAGTGAATTAGTGGCCCAGTTTTATGCTATTCTCCTGGTCATTGGTTCAGCATATTAGACCCATTTTCTGGGTTATAATAAGATGAGGTGGATGAGGGAGCAAATGTAAGACTGCTTCCAGAATTCTAGATAGTTTGCAAGAATTCCACATCATAATATTTAGTGTGTATAACACACCTGCTCTTCTGAATAGCTGATGAAAGTTGCTTTTAGAGGACTGCAGTGTGAGAGATGTTTGATCTATGTAGACAACATGCTGGTGTTTGGTTACCTAGCTGTTTCAGTATACTGCTGAAAACTTGAGAATGGCTTTTCAGCAGATAAGATAGGCAAGTTTGAAGTTGAAAACATGGAAATTTTCACTCATGCATATACAAGTAGAGCTTCTCAACCACATTGTGGGTAAAAAAAGAATGTTTACCAATTCTGAAAAAAACTTGGTGAAATACTGGCCCCAACCCATAAGATGTTGAGTAATGGTTCAAACACTATCCTGTGTGAGTTACCCACAGGTAAAGCCAGCTGTGTCAAGGAAAACTGGCAGAGATTTACAGAGAATATCATGGGAGTTGGCAAACACCTAGAAAGTGAACACAGTAATGCACTTGGTATGTGCTAGTTATTGTTGATTACTTGAATTAGTGGGTTTAAGCTTATCCACAGCCCATTGCTGATGTATTAGCAGGACAATGTATAGCACCTGGAGAAATCCACGTGATGTGAAATATATCATATTACACAAAATTATATGTTCTAGCTTCCTTGAGTGTCACTAGCTGTGAAGAGAATGCTGCTAATTTGGTAAAGGATTTAGATCAATTAGTGAGTTGGGAAAATAAATGGCAAAAGAGTTTTAATTATATTAAATGCAAGATAATGCAGTGGGTTATCATAATTTGAATCATAAGTATAACTTGGATGGGAATAACCTTAACAGTGCCATGAAAGAAAGGGATCTTGGTGTAATAGTTGATCAGTCTGTTAAGCCATCCAAGCAGTGTGCTGTTGCTATTAGTAGGACAAATAGGATTTTAGGTTGTATCTACAGAAATATTGAATACAAGTCTAAAGAGGTTATAATTTCATTGTATAGGTCACTGGTTAGGCCACATTTGGAATATTATGTTCAGTATTGGGCTCCTTACCTTTAAAAGGACAATGAATTGTTGGAAAGGGTTTAGTGGAGAGTTACTAGAATGGTGCCTGGGATGGAGGTACTGTCATACAAGAAGAGGTTAAAATCTCTCAAATTGTTTTCTCTTGAAAAAATAAGAGCTAGTAGGATCTGATTAAGGTGTTTAAGGTTGTAAAGAGAATTGATGGTGTTGATGCATCATCTTTTTTCATACTTAACAGTGAGAATGGTAGGACTAGGGGACAAATATAAATTTTGGCAGGGTAGGAGTCATTTTCAGCTAAGATAGTTTTATTTTTCTAACAGGGTGGTTGGCATTTGAAATGGGTTGCCTTCAGATGTTGTGGAGGCAGTAAATTTAAGTGAATTTAAAAGAAAGCTTGATAAGTATATGAATGATAAGGGCTGGCTTTAAGATTTATTTCTATTTTATTTTTAATAGTTTTAGTTTAGTTTAGAGGATAGGACAGCAAAGAAGGACCAACAGGTCCCTTATTTTTCCCAAAAATTATGTTATGTTACATTGTTTTGCACATGTGCTTGTGATCTGATTACAATGAGAATGTGGATTGTGAGAATAGTTTTGGCATTTTCAAGTAGAATAATTCCTTTTGTAGAGATTCAAATGTTTTTCTTTTCAATTTTTCAGTCTGCTGATCCTTTGTACCTGTTAGTGAACCAGATATTTTCTACTTTATTCCAAAGTGAAGCTATTTTAATTTAATTTTTTGTATATTTATTCTTCATTTAAATAATGTTTATTCCTTTGTATTTCTGTAGCTGTACCATTCTGAGTTAAATCCATAGTTAGATATCATAGTTCTCACAACTAAATCGGCCCGGCATGGCCAGGTGGTTAAGGCACTCGACTCGCAATCTGAGGGTCGCGGGTTCGAATCCCTGTCACACCAAACATGCTTGCCCTTTCAGCCGTGGGGGCATTATAATGTGACGGTCAATCCCATTATCCCAAGAGTTGGCGGTGGGTGGTGATGACTAGCTGCTTTCCCTCTAGTCTTACACTGCTAAATTAGGAACGGCTGGTGCAGATAGCCCTTGTGTAGCTTTGCGCGAAATTCAAAACAAACAAACAAACACAACTAAATCATCAGCCCTAATTGTATCATATTATTGATTTCCAAAAATAAAGTATTTTTTCTCTAACTTGCATTGTGTTTTGTTTCTTTCATTCCATCTGTAACAAATTACTAACATTTTTCCTTGATCTCTTCACTGTGAATGTCAGATAACTGTGCACTTGGTCCATCCTGAACGTGCAAATGAGGATAGTCACATTGGAAAAAGTGTTTTATAAAGAAGCAGATTGGTTTCAATCGTTAAGATTTGTCATGAACCAGTTAGGATGAAATATTATGAAAAGATTCATTGAAAATTTGATAAATGAAACAAGTGAGATATATGTTGTTTAATTTACAGAATCTCACACAACCTAAACCAGATTATTATTGGGTTCTCTAGTGTTGTTTGTTTCTTGGCTGGATATTTTACATAACTTGCTGTAGTGTAAAGTACTTAAACTGGTAGAGCAAAGGACATTACTTGGCTTCTTAAATGCAATGAAAATCACAAAACTGATTGCAGTTCTTTTACATTCTTTTATAATATTCTTTACAGTAGTTTTAGGTATGATTTGAAATCATTAATAAATTATAAGTACAGTATGTCTGTATATTTGTGCATTACATTGCAGTTTTAACAAATGTTCTAAATGCTTCAGTTATGAAAAGCATCAGTTCTCAGTGTTCATATTAAGTTGACAGATATTGATATTAACAATGAAGCTATACTTGTCTATTTTTGTTGTTTGTTGAGAAAACTATTTTTTGACTATTTCTTTATAAAATACTATATGGTACTGTTCAGCTGGTTCCAGTTTTAAAGAAGTATATAGGTGTTTATTTCAGGCACAACATAAACTTGTAACATTTGGACAGTCTTGAAAATGCTTATATAAGAAAAGAAGAGTAAAGCCTAATATGTATTATTCAAAAGGACTGAAGTGTTAATGTCTGAAAAATTACAGTTTTTGAGAAAAGATAAATATAGAAGTAATTGTTCATATGCATAATTATTTTTGATTAGATCTTCTAATCCTATGTTTTTTGACACTTTTATTAAAGAAGTTCCATTTTGATTCGTATTTTTACCATAACAGTTATTTTCCTATATCTCTTCATTTCTGAATTACTTACCTGTTGCAGATTTCTTAATCTCCCTATTATGTATTATCACTTACTAAACTCAGTAATATCTAAAGGTGTTACTATTCATTTGAGAGAAATACTAGGAGCCATGTTATATTAAAATATTTCTTTTTAATGTTCAGAGACAGAATGCCCAGAGATCCCAAGAAGCAGAGGACTGGAAGTCAATTATGAAAATAATCGACAATTTAATAGTATTGTTAGCTTTACTTGCCAAGAGCCATTGCATCTTACAGGAACCAAGGAAGCAAAATGTTTAACAACAGGAAAGTGGTCTGAACAAACTCCTTTCTGCTATATTTCAGGTAATCATGCAGTTATTGAGGGAAAAAAAAAGCTATCTATTTGTATCAGAATGTTGGCATGCAAAACTGGTTTGTGGTATTGTAAGATTTAGTATTTCTGATATAGTCACTTAGGAGTTGATAGTGATGAATTAAAAAGTATTATTATCTATATTACTAAATAACATTATAATTGTTGCAGTACAGATGCATTGTTAATAAAAAGATGTTGAAATAGAGATAATGTTGTAACATTATTTTATAACTAATATTATAATTAGTATAGTAATAATATCAGTTCTTTAACAGAGTATGCTTTCAAGCTAGCAGTGGTGTAGTTTCTTATTAAGTAGTGATACTTCTTTGCTCAACAGTACTGTAAACTTACTCTAGTATGCATGTTTAAAGATGCCACATATAATTTGATTCCAGAAATAAAGTGTGATTGTTTGAGAAATTGCAGCTAATTTTAATTCACACTGTTAATAAATCCATATTAATAAATTTTAAGGTATTTTGGTATTGATCTAGCATAAAGTAGGATAAATTATGTCATTTATTTCTAGTATAAATAAAACAGTTACTGGATTTTACAACACAACATTTTTTTAAACAGAAGCTTAACTTCAGAGAAAAAATATTGCTTGATATATGCCAACTAAGAAGTTAAAAAAGAAGTAAAAACGAGATAGATTAGTGTTTGTGTGGTATTATATCACAATAAGACAGATAATTTTTTCAAGACTCTTTACTGGCCTTCGACAGGTGTCCAGTAAGAATAATATAAAATAGTATCTTTTGATCAGTCTAATTTCCTATTATGATGTATGCATTGATCTTGGAACACTGAGATGCCATCTGGATGTTGAAGACTATGGTGGCTGATATTCAGCAAATAGTACAATGAAATTTTCTACTGGCTAAAATCTGATATGCTGTTAATAATAATCAACATACACTTTGCCTGATGTATCTCTTAAGTATTTTCTTGCATATTTTCTTAGTTGCATATTTTATGTTAACATTTTCTAAAACCTTCATTTGCCCTCTAGGCATTGGAAAACTTTTCAAAATGCACTAGTCTTTTATGCCCCTATATATTTTGTGTCATTGCAGCAACATATGTGCTTATCATGTGATCACCCTCCACCAATCCTATTGCGCTCTCTACCCTTGCGGCACAATCCTCACTTTCGAAAATTGGCATACACAAACTCAAAAAACACCAGCAAATCAGTGGGGAGTGGGTGAGTGGAGGTAGGTACCTATCAGAAATGCATTTTCAGTGTTAGAAAATGTTAACTTCTGAAACAGTACTACCTTTAGTCACTCAAAGCTAGAATACAACATTGGAAAGGTGGAGGGGCTGGTGAAGGCACAAAAACAATTAATCGAGCGGAGAATGACTGCCATAAAAAAGCAAGTGTGCCGCAATAAAATATGAGGCACACCTGTGGGGGTATAGCACTATGTCTGGAACAAGTATGCTCTTCATCCACCAAAGAGAACCATAGAGGACCATATATGAATAGGTCAAATGTGGTCTGCCTGGGCATAAAACATACAGGGGAAGCATCTTGGATTGATATCAAGATAGCCAAGTGAGGTCCACCCAGGCAAATAATATCTAGGGGAAGCTCCTTGGTATACATTGGATTATGTCAAGTACAGTCCATCTGGGCAGAAAACATCCAGTGGAAAAGCCTTGCATAATATATTTCATGCCATATTGTGTGTATAATATGCAGAATAATGACAATAACCCTCTTCTCATTGAGTGAGTGAGTACATATGGCTATGAGATAGTGTTATTGTACAAAACCCAGTCATGAGGAAACCTCTACGGTCCATCACTCCAGTGACTTGGAATCAGATGTGGCAAGGACCCTTGTGCTCCAGTAGAAGAAAGAAGGAGGAAATGCATTTGGATTTGGGGGGGGGGGGTCTGGAGGTCTCATCGAGTGGGTACATATAGCTATGAGATTGTGTTATCATACAAAACCCACTTGAGAGGAAACCTCCATAGTCCACCACTCCACTAGAAGAAAGAGGGGGTCAGGAGGAACCACACTGGAGACAGTGCAATGGGGGTCTGCATTTCCCTATTTTGGAGAGCATAAAGACTGGATTGTAAGAATCACGGGTCAGTAGGGATGGGCAAAAATCCCTGTCTGCTTTACTCATGAAGTCCATAAGTGATGGTCCACAGGATATATAGATAGATAGATATTGATAAATAAAATGTGATATAGAGATATAGATACACCACCAGAAAAGTGTCTGGTGGTCTTACAGAAACACCCCATCTCCACAGTGAGCATTGGAGAAGTATACAGATATAGTGCTACGATATAAAATTCAGCATACCTGACCAGGCAACCCCCTTCACCAGGTGGGATCCTGAAACATGATGTATATGCAACGATAAAAGGGAAAAATAATAATAATATGACGATTTACCTCAGTCACAGGTGAACAGACGTGTAGAATCGCCACAGGATAGTGGCCCGAAGAAGACACAGTGAAGTTATTCAGAGAAAGGACGACGAAAGTTTATTTGAGTTGTCCACATACCAGCATAAAAGATTCCCTCCAAACAACAGTGGAGTCAAGCAGGTAAAGACAGAGTAAAATGACAAATTAGGGGTTAAGAAACAATATGTAAATGGAAACCTGCGAGGGACACATCCAAATATATGCCAGGTGTAGGAGTTGACGAATCCAACCCGTGAGTGTAATAGGAGAAAGATTAGGGGAAATGGGAATGCAATGGAACAATGAGACAGGAATGAGAAAAATGAAAGGAGACAGTACAAGCAAATAACAGAGCAGGGAATGAGCAGGACAAAGGAGATGATCCAGAAACAAATGGGAAAAGGAAAGGAAGGAAAGAGGAGAAAAGGCAAAACAACCTACCTGGTCAGCCGAAGTCCAGGGAAGGAATGCCAGATCTAGCTGTCCAAAAAACATATGAGAAATGATAAAGGACATCAGAAAAATCAGAACAACAAAGACCGCATACCAGGAGGGGGAGGATTGAGGTCAGAGAAATATCTTACAAGGGACGAATTGCAAAGGGTTCTAGGGAGAACTGGACAGGATAGGAAGAACAATATGGAGATCTCAATCCAGCAGAACAAAAGAAATGTGTCAGATGGACCAGATGAAAGAAATGAAATAATTCAGGGAAGAGAAACTTATCTGGAAGAGGGAAAAAGGAGGGAGTGTGACAGGGCAGCTCTATACAGAGCAACAGTTGAAACAGGCAAACCCTGAAAAAACAACCAGATGAAGATCTGGGACAGGTTAGGAACAGAAGTACAGGAGGATTGGAAGCTCTGGGAAAAGATCAAAGAGTGAAGTAATACTTAAGCCTCTGGTACATAGACAAAGAGGAAGGGCGAAACGTGTATGCAATGAAAGATGCAACACACAGGTGAGTCCCTGAGCTGAGGCACGAGACCAGACAAAAGATACACAGAAAGACAAAGGATGGTGATGATGGAATGAAAAATGACTGATCACAGTGGATAGAGGAGCGAGTAGAACAGGGAAAGGGGCAGTGAGTGTTCCTCCATGAAGGGACAAAGCAGAGGGAGCTATGTCAAAGCTGGCCAACCCAGAGCAACCAACAGAACACAAGAAGAAGGGGTCTAGATAAGGGAAAAGACTCAGAAGAGGATCAGTCTGAATGGAGAGTAGGCATATAGGGGCGATCCCCTAAGCTGAGGCACATGACCAGGTAAAAGTCACTCTGAAAGAAGAGGTGTATAGACGTCTGGATAAAAAACGTCAGATCGGCGATGACTGAAAAACAGACAGGACAGAGAACAGGATGAGGTGTATTGTAGAGGGACCACATCTGAGTGAGCTATACAGAAGAACCAGGAGAGTACAACAAGGTTTGGTCTGGGTAAGGAAAAAGGCACAGAAGATTAGTAAACTTGGAGGATAGGCATATAGGTGAAGACTCATCCAATCTTGACTGAAAGCATCTATCTTCACAGTTGAAGAGTGAGGAACTGAAGACTAAAGAAGGAAGTTTGATGTACCAGTGAATGGGAAACAAATACAAAGATGCAGTGTTCTCTGTTGAGAACACACCCACAGAAAAATGTGAGGATGAAGAGACCACTCTGTGGAGAACCTGGTGGAGAATAGTCATGTCAAGGTCACTGGCCCAATACACAAAATCCAGAGTCTGACCAGACAGAGATCAGTACGTGATTCCTCCTTTCTAGTAATAAAGCTGATGATAGTGGAATTGCAGATAAACCAAAACCATTCTTCCCTGCAGGAAAGGGAGGAAATAATACAGAGCCCAATTAACTGCCAAGGTACCAGGATATGGATATGGAGAGTAGCCTCCTCGAACGACCACCAACCCAAAAAGGGAATTGAGGAAAATGGGATGGTCCAAGGGATCATGAGGGAAGTTCCACTGGTCAAGAAGTATCCAATGAAGGGAATGCATGTGTGTCCTACCCAAGGGAATGAACACTTCCAAAGAAGACCACATCCCAAAATAGAGAGAACCTCATGGACATAGAGAGGAGAAGGGATGGCAAATGTGCCTGTCTCCTCAATATCCTCAAGCCAAAGTGCAGAAGGCTGGGCTTGACCAAAAATGGAAATGAGGAGAACCCCCAAATGAATAAGATACTGTGAGGAGTTAGTAAAAGACTTCTCCAACCAGAAAAAAAAAATCCACCTGAGAAGCTTCTTCTAGAAGGAAGCAGGCGTGAGTGACTGAATGGGCACAGGAAGAGGCAAGCAGAAGCCTGTCATCCATGAAATGTGAATCTGAAGACCCAATAAATGAAGATGACGTGCAAAAGCATACCACCCACAAACAAGAAGGCACAACTCACCTAGAGGAACCAAAGAAAAGAAAGTGACACTGAGGTATAAAAACCCACCTAAGTGAGAGATAGGACTTCATGGTGAAGCAGATAAGTATACAGCCAAGACAGATCAAGAAAAGGACTATAAGCTCCCGTGTATACGGACAAAGAAGGACATGAGTAAACTCCTAGATGAATGGACTCCACACATTTCATAGCTCCATTTTGGAGTAGGACACAGACTAAGCAAGATGACCAGACAAGATACAATCCAGAGGAAGAGGGGAAGAGATCTGGGAAATGAGTAGAGGGAGAGCAAAATGGAAGTCAGAAACCTTCATAGAGAACCCGTAAAAAGAACTGAACTGTCGTGAAGTGTATCCAAAAAGACACATAAACTAAATAAATTGAAGAAAGTACACAGAACTAATGAAGTAGCAAAAACTTAAAAATTTGTAATCAACAAAGAGCTTAAATGTAACACATCTGCGAAACAAAGAAAATCAATCTAAAACATAAAACAATAAGTAACACCTAAAGTAAGAAAACATTAATCAGACTGAGAAGATATTTGACCCTTAAACATAAAATGTAGAAGTCAACTCAAAATATGTCAACTGACATATCTGACCTTGGCCAAACATTGGCATCTCTTGTTCTTTTATAAAATTGATAAGTACAATTCTTTGCCTCAGAATGGGTATCTACCTGTCCATTTTAGTTTAAAAATACACCTGTTTTCAATTTTTTATTCTTATTTGGTAGTGAAATTCAGCATTGCATTTGTCTTTTTGCATGAGAGTTTATGATTTGACCTATTCCTCTGAATTCTTTTAATTATTGAGGTCAGATTTTGAAAACATATGCATGAAAACCAATAACTCTGAGTTGATGAGTTGTAAATCAGTCAGTGCCACTTTACATGGTGTTATATCTATTTGCCAAATTTTATTGAAAATATCCTCATAGGTATTGTTTTCCTTCGTTTTGGAATTATTAGAAGTTACCTACATGATTTTGGCTTCAAAACCTTTTTAATCCAGTAATCCACAAATTCTGCAGTGGATTTCCATAATCCATGACCTATGCTTTACATTTGGATTAATTTTCCTGACATCATTTTTACACTTTTTGTAATATCATATTTGTGGAAGTTTTGTAACCATCAGCTTGAAATTCTGTCACTGGAACATCATATTCTGACATTTGTGCTGAATCACATTCATTATCAAATGTACTTTACATTAATTTTATTAATATTCATGTGTCCTTTACAAGTTCAAGTGAAGATAGGACTTCTTCTGATTTTTAAATTGTTCGTTCCTTTACTTGCATTTATAAGAACTACATTTAACAATCCAAATCATCACTGAAATAAAATAGTAACAACCTCATTTTCACACCATTTCCCTTAAAATTATATGCTAACAAACACTAAGAATAGTTAAGAAAACTAGAGCCAAAGGATTTGATAACTGGGAAACTATTTTTGCCAAAGTAAAAATAATTTATGTATATATAATTGTAGAAAACACTGAGATTTTAAGGCCATAAATTATTATAATGTCTATTAAATTGAGACCTTTCTTGCCCCAACCCCTGGTATTTCCTGCAGTTATATATATATGTGTGTTTAATTTTGGTGTATTTTAGTTGGAGTTAAAGAGACTGCTTTTATGTTGACTTCACAAAATAATGTGAATATGTGCTTAAGTTTGAAATTGTAGTTATTATTACTACCCTTTCTCTTGGTAAGCTTTTGTTTATACAATTGTAATTAAAATTGACATAATTAATATATATATCATGTATTTTACTGATAACATAAAGTATCATCTCCACATTCACAATGATATCTCATAGGCCTAAATTATGGATTTAATTAACTAAATATAACTATAGACAATATAAAATAGATAATAAAATACATAGTTTGTGTGGGTTGACTATAATAATGCTACATCTGCTAGTTTTAGTATTATTATTTTAGATTTATGTACACCTTTAGTCTAAATAATAAGACATGGAGGTTTCCCTATATTATTGTATTTAAGCATGTTATTAGGCATGGTATGCTTAAAACATTTGAATACATTATATTATATTGACTGAGTGCTTATCTAAACAAAGATTTTTGATACTGACTATTTAGGAAGTTAAATTATGATTAATAAAAATGTAAAAAATAATTCACTGGTTTAATCAAAATATGGGATTTAAGTTCTGATGAAAAATTTTTTAAATTTTACTGACTACTTAGATGCTATATAATTTAATTATAACCTTTCTATTGTTAATTTAAGTAATGATTTTTACCAGACATGGACATGTAGAACTATTTGAACTTAAGTTATATTGCACAGCTTTAGTGATGTAATCAATGTTTTAGTTAATATTGCGTGGTTTGTTTTTGTGGTCTAATAGCTTCTATTAAAGATTTTTTATATTAAAAACTAAATATAATATACTCTACAGTGTGTGGTATTGTTTTTGTTTTAGGTAATTTTTGTTCTCCAATATTGTTGTCAGAAGGTTTACTTATCAAATACAGTAATATGCAAAACAAAGGAAGTTGGGCTGACTTCTCCTGTGAACCACCTTTGCAACTTGATGGACCACAACGTTTGCTGTGTCAAAATGATGGTAGATGGTCTGGCATACTACCAGCATGTATCCATGGTAAATCACTAATAATTACTTATAGAATTAAAATAAGTTTGAAAATAGCATGTTATGCATGAAACAAATGGAAGTGATTTTTTTTTTACATATTTTTTGTTATAACACAATATAGCTAGAGAAACCATAAATATTAAAAGAGGGTTAAAGAAACTTCAAGGTTTTGTATTACTCTCATGTAGACTTAATAATGGTAAGTAAAAAAATAATTATTAAAGTGGTGTAGTGGCTGTCATCACTTATCACCTTTTGTATCCTAAACTGTCAACAAATGCATCAGTTCAAACATGTACATAAAATTATAATGATAAATATTAGTCTGTTCTAAACTCATTTTTTGCTTCTTTATTTTGACAAGTAATAATAATATTTTCCGAAACAGTACTACCTCATCTCAACCATTTGCTTTCATTTACTCTATAAACATTGCTAAAATTTTTAACAGCACACCAGTTTTTTATACCCCTATATTTTTTGCGTCATTGCAGCAACTTGTGTTGATCATGTGACTACCCTCCAACAAGCATACTGTGCCACCTATACTAGCGCAGGTACCTCCCTCTACCATTGTAGCACAATCCTCACGTTCTCAACTGGCATTCTAGTATATAGACATGTGTTTTAACTCACTGTTCATGTGAATATCAAATTTTTGATTGTGCTTAATTACCAATTAATATCAGTTTCAACTTCTTGTGTTTGATTTCCATTGTTTCTACTCATTTCTTTTTGAGATATTTCTGTTTCCTGAATTATACTTTGTTCATATGAATTCGAGATTTAATATGGCGGATGATAATTTTTCCGCCATAAGTAGACAATGGTTCTAACACTAGACCCCTGTGCTCAGGGTCGATGATGCCTGCTGGAGAGGCACAGGCTTTAGTTTGTGTGGAGTTCGAGTCTAACGTTCGACTGGCGATTTTTTCCTTTCAAGTTAAAATTTTTGTGCAGAGGGATAGTACTACTGTGTGGAAAGTTTCTTTCTATGAAACTTTCTATCTGCTATCGTGCCTCCTCGTAATCTGCTGGGTTAGGTATTGTTCTTTTCCCAAGAGATCTGTAGTAAGTTTTCAGTATGTATTTCTCACTCCCCTTAGATATACTTATGTTCAATGTGTTTATGTGAGCTTGTGTAGATGGATTTAATTTCTGCACTTGATAATTTATGTTATTCATGTTTTCTCTGCTCAGTGTTGGGTTAATTCCAATTTTATACTTCTTTTACCATCTAGGTTTCTTTTGTTTAAAACTTGCATTTGTAGTTTGTTTCTTTCTTTAATTTGTTTATTTATTTTTTTCACTGTTAATGTTATTTAGTTGTAAATTATTTTTCTTTGCTACTAGTCACATCTAATTGGGGATTAGTTTGAGCCAAACTTTGTTTTTGTTAACTGGATACCTTTTTATTCTCATGTTATTTAGGGTAGGTTTTATTTTCGTGCTTGTTGTTTTATAGCTTCCATGAGTGGACTTGTAAGTTCTATATTGAAGGGTTGTTTATCTTCTCAGTCCCTTTTGTGGTTGTATACTTTAGGTGTTACATATTGTTTTAGGTCGATTTTGTGTCTTTTTAGCTATTCTTCATGACAGTTCCATTATTTATACGGGTTTGCTCTGAGGGTTTCTGACTTCCATTGTGCTCCCCCTCTACCCACTTCCCAGATCTATTTCACTCCTCCTCAGGATCGTACCTTATCTAATCCTCTTGTTGAGTCTGTTCGAGTCCTACTACACAAAGGAGCTATCGAAGTGGTGCCCACTCAACCAAGAGTTTACTCCCATCTTTCTTTGTCTACAAATATACAGGAGTTTAGAATCTCTTCATTGATCTGTCCTGGTTGTATACTTATCTGGAGATGCTTTGCTTTATCATGGAGTCCTACCTCTCACTGCAGTGGGTTTTTCCTGACACAGTGTCACTTTTTTTTCTTTGATTCATCTATGAGGGTTTTGCCTTTCAATTCTGGGCACTACCAGTCTGTCTTTCATCAGCTCCATATGTGTTTTGTGAAGTGGTATGCTCTTTAGCACGTCATTTTCACACACTGGGTTTTTGGACTTGAATTTCATGGATGACAGGCTTCTACTTGCCTCTTCCTGTGCCTATTCAGTCACTCAAACCTGCATCCTCCTTTGAGAAGCTTCTCGGTGGGGTTTCTTTTTTTTAGGTTGGAGAAGTCCTTTACTATCCCCTCACAGTATCTTATTCATTTGGGGGTTCTCTTCACTTCCTTTTTTGGTTGAGCCCAGCCTTCTTCACATCAGCTCCAGGATATAGTAGAGTGGACAGTCACATTTGCCATACCTTCTCTTTCTCTCTCTGCATGTGAGGCTCTCTCTCTTTTGGAGATATGGGCTTCCTTGAAAGCACTCATTCCCTTCATTGGATGCTTCTCAACCAGTGGAACTTCCTTCTCGATCCCTTTGACCATCTCATTTTCCTTGATTCCTCAGAGATTGTGGGTCGGTGGTTAGTCGAGAAGGCTACTCTCCATATCCACATCCTGGAACCTTTGGCAGGTCATCGAGCTATTATCCTTTCCTTCCATTCCTGCAGGGAAGGGTGGTTATGGTTCATTCTGACAATTTCATTGTCACCAGGTTTATCACCAAGCAAGAGGGAACCAAGTACAAATCTGTCTGTTCAGACTCTGGATTTTGTGTACTAGGCCTATGACCATTGCATGACTATTCTGGCATGTCATGTTCCCAAGTTATGAATCTTGTGGCCAATCTCTTATCACTTCTCCACTAGGTTCTCCACAGAATGGTCTTTTCATCACATTTTTCTGTGGGTCTAGTATGCCAAATTTCCTTCCTTTTTGGTCTCCAGTTCCTCACCCCTCAGCTCTGAGGGTTGGTGTTTCAGTCAAGATTGGAGGGGTCTTCACCTATAAGCCTACCCTCCAATCCGACTCATCTTCTGGTTTTTTCCTTATCACAACCACTCCTTCTTGTGTTGCTGCTGTATTGGCCGCTCAGACATGGTTCTCTCTGCTATGGCCCTTACTAGAGCAATAAACCATGCCCTTTTCTTTGTCCTGCACACTCCTCAGTTAACTTCAACCTGACATTTTTCTTATCCCGGCATTACCACACTTCATCTTTCCATGTGAATTTTGTCCAGTCCTTTGCCTTAGCTCATGAACTCATCTCTCATGTCGTATCTTTCCTTGCCTGCACCATTCGCCCTTCTTCTTTGTCTATGTACCAGAGGCATAGGTCTTGCTTTTGTCTATTTCCCATTGCTTCCAACCCTCCTGTATTTCTGTTCCTCACCTGTTCCAGTTCTTTATCTGGTTGTTTGATCAGGGTTATTCAGTTTGAACTGTTTCTCTTTATAGAGCTGGCCTGTCAAACACCCTCTATTCTCACATTTCCAGAAAGCTTTCTTTTCCCTAGGTTTTTCTGTTTCTTTCATCTGGTCCATCTGCCACATTCCTTTGTTCTGCCTGATTGGGATCTCAATGTTGTTCTTCACATTCTGTCCAGTTCTCCCTTGAACTCTTTGCAGTTTGTTCCTTGTACCATTTTTCTCTTAAAACTTAAATCCTCCCCTCCTGGCATGTGGTCATCATCGCTCCAATATTTATGCCATCCTTTACCATTCTTTATATGTTATTCCTTATTGGGATCGAGCATTCCTTTCCTGTACTTCGGCTGTCCAGGAAAGTTGTTTTGCCTTTTCTCCTATTTCCTTACCTTCCTTTTCTCACCTGTATTCCCATTCAGATCTGGATCATCTACTTTGACCAATTTGTTCCCTACTAGTGAAGATAACCCTTGTGTAGCTTTGTACAAAATTCAAAACAAATATTGTTCCCTACTATGTTATTTGGCTTGTACTATCTCCTTTCATTGTTCTCATTCCTGTCTAATTGTTACATGGCACTTCTCTGTTTCCTGTGATCTTTCACCTATTACACTCATGGATTGGGTTCGTCAACTCATATGACTGGCATATTTTGACGTATCTCTGGCATGTCATCTAACTAAGTCTTTCACTGCTTGACACCACCATCTTTTGAAGGAGATCTTTCAGGCTGGTATGTGAACAACTTCTAATACATTTGTCACTCTTTCTCTGCACAAAATAGCTATTTTTTTCCTCAGGCTATTCTACACACGTCTGTTCACCTTTGACTGGGGTAAGTCATCATCTTTTTTTTTTCTTATTTTGTCGATATACATCATATTTCAGGATTCCACCTGGTGGCAGGTGTTGCCTGGTCAGGTATGCTGAATTTTATATCTTAGCACTATATTTGTATACTTCTATAATGCTCACTGTGGAGATGGGGTGTTTCTGTAAGACCATTGGCTGCTTATCCAGTGATGTATCTATATCTATATATCACGTTTTTTTATCAATATCCTGAGGACCATCACTCGTGGACTTCATGAGTAAAGGAGATAGGGATTTTTGCCCATCCCTACTAACCTGTGATTCTTACAATCTGTGTCTTTCTGCTCTCTCTCTCTCTGTCTCTCTAGCAAAACCTACTTAAAATAGCCCAGCAGCATAGTTTCTATTGCAAGAGGATCTGTCAGAAGGCTTTCAGGACTAAAGCATACTACTCTTCACTGCATGCTTTCTATAACTCTGTAGTGCCAAAGGATGATGATTTTCCAGCACTTGTTTCAACAGTCCAATCACAGAAATATATAGGCACTGTATCTGGTGGCTTGAATAGTATGTCTTTATATGAAATAGCATAAATATACATTTCATTTTCCATTTAACCCTAATCTATGGCCTTGTTTTTTTACATATCCCTTAATTCTGTGTGGTACAAAGGGTCCAGAATAGTGGTCTCATATTAAGCAGTTTTCACCTTCACCTTTGTATGTGCTCTTCTGCTCCCTAACTTGTCCCTGGTGCAGTGTCCAGTGATGAGCATGAATCCCATAGAAAATGTTTCATGATGTGCCATTTCCTACTATTGAAAAGGTTTTCACCCATTAACCAGTAGAAAATAGCATTAGACTTGTTACATTTCTGAAGGTACACATATGCTTCATTGAGCATCACCATGTGTTGCCTTTTTCCATCCTCCCATTCATACAGTTAGTCTTTTCCTCTACAGTTGTTCTGGGTATGTCATGGAAGCAACTTATGCTGCTTTTTCAAGCAGAGACCTTTATTATATTGTGTACTGTTGCCTGGGTCATGTGGATAGCTTTTACCACTGAATTGTAATCTGTACTCTACAAGATACTGTGCAGCTGGTTTACAACTTGAAGCAGGTGTCTTTCTGGATGATCCTTCTACACTTAGTTGATCCATATTCTTTTGTTTTCCAGTGCCATAAAGTACAAGTGATAGTCCAATCTTGGAAATTCAAAATCTCCAATATGAATTGAGTGTGTGGAGACTTTATGATAAAGAAAAATGAGTTTTTGATTTGTTTGTTTGTTGTTTAAGCACGAAGCTACACAATGGGTTATCTGTACTCTGCTCACCATGGGTATTGAAATCCAGTGTATAATGTTGTAAGTCTGCAGACATACTGCTGTGCCATTGGGGGGCTATGAGTTGTTGAAGTAAGAGAGTGAAGACAAGCCTAAAATGCAAAGTACGAAGGAATCAATGAAAGAAGGAAATAATATGTTGTCAAGTGCAATAGGAAAATATTGAAGCCCAAATGTAATTAAAGCTGTTAGAGAGAAATCTGAAAAAGAAACAGACAAAATGATTCAAGATAAGAAGAATTTCGAATTGGAAAAAAGGGAACTGTTAGCTAAACATATAATAGGGACAATGTTTTCCAGCTCTAACAATTCATCAACAAGAAGGTACAAAGATGATGGATTTTCTTGAAAAGACAACTAAATAATTAAACAGTCCTAAGCACAATTATTAAAAAGAAAGTCAAAAGAGAACATTTTTGTGTCATTATAGTCAGAAAAATAAATAAAACTTGTGGATTTTAATTTTTTACCTTGAAAATAATATCATTAAGTAAAAACAGTTGTTGAAGTATGATCCTTTAATGGTGAAAAAGACCTTGATGATGATGATGAATGATTGCACAAAATATGAATTTACATGGTGTTAGTTATATTTTTTTATGTATGAAGCATTCCTTATTTTCATCAGCAGAAATCACTTGACACCAAAATGTACATGAGTCAGATATGGGCTCCAATGTTCTGTAACATCATTGTGAAACTAACACCAGATATGGGTTGTAATGTTCTTTAAAACAGGATTGTGAATCTAACACTAGATATGGGCTCCAATGTTCTGTAACAGCATTGTGAATCTAACGCCAAATATGGCCAATAGTGTTCTTTAACATGGTTGCAAATCTAACACTACATATGGGCTCTAGTGTTCTTTAACAGGATTGTGAATCTAACACTAGATATGGGCTGTAGTGTTCTTTAATAGGATTTCAAATCTAGCACCAGATATGGGCTCTAAGGTTCTTTAAGAAGGATTGTAAATTTAAATCAAAATGTACTTTTTTAAATTTCTGAAACTTTTCATGTAATTGGTATTGAAATATGTTTATAAATTAGGATATATTTTTCATTTTATATAAAATCTTATAAATATTTCATATACAATTACATTATATCACTTAAGATGCTACATAAAGTTGATTGATTAGTAAATGAAGTGTAACATTTTAAATAAAACTATCTGAAGTGTCTTATCACCCATGTCAGGTTTGTAACAAAGAGTAAAAAGCTCCTTACCAAGAATTATAATTTTTTTTTATTTCAAACATTTTTATTGCTTTATATGAAACAAGTAGAAGATTTGGTTCCCATTTTGTAGGTTCCAAGTGTGATGTAGAAACGTTGTATAAGGTGCTACCTCCAGATATAACCCCAGATGTCACCAAGTCATTTTATGATACAGATGAAGAAGTAGATGTGTTTTGTCATAATGAAGAGTTTGTTATTGTGGGACCCACAACTGTACAGTGTTTGGCATCAGGCAACTGGCATATACCAGAATTGAAATGTGAGTTGTGTTAGTAAAGCACTAGAGTTACATTTCTTTTGGTATTAAATAGTTTTTTGGGTTCATAAATAAACTTGTGTATATTATGTAATATGATAGGAATTATTAAGTTTTTGTAGCTAGTTGTTTCTGGAACTATGTTAGTGATATTATTGATTTTTATCTTATTTTTTATAATATAAGCTTTTCTTATATACAAAACTTTGTACTGTAACATGCATGTGATTAGTTGAGACTAGCTCATCGGAAGATCTATACTTCAAATGTTGGAAGATTTTACTCTGATGAAAATAAGACCAAATACAACCATTAACCACATTGAAAATATGACAAAACATACAGAACAAATTAATTTCAAATCATTATCAGAATTAACACAATTACTTTCACTACTTAATTTGGGTTACTTGGAGAAATTTTATGAAGAAAATTTACAAATTGTGATAGAATTTATTTATTTATTTGAGAATGCATGAATTTAAGGGATTCTGCTATAAGATTTTGGAGACATCAATCACACATGTTGCAAATTTATTGTTTATTGGATTGTCTTGCTTGTATAAAACAAAGTCAATATTTTAGTTATTTATGCCTTACTGAGTACCCTTTTAGAGTATATTTATATTTGAACTTCATAATAGCTATGCTGAAAAATTATTTATGGCAACTTTTGTTTTAATATTCTCCCACATTTCTTATAAAATTTACTTTAAAATGGTCTTTTACACTGCATATTTTACTTTTCCCTGTTTTTACTTCATTTAAGTTGTAACATTTCTGTTAAATATTTTTTTGAAAATTTTGTACATATATATATATATATATATGTATTAATATTAAAGTTTCTTAAATAATAATCAGTAAACATTACCATCATAATTATGAATGAATTATGTATTCTCAAATGTTTCACTGTTTAATTTTTTCTGCGCCTTCATCTATGGTTATTTTCAAATTGCTTATACAAAAAGTAACTTGATGTTAAAATAAATTATTTCAGTTCATAAAAGTACATTTTTCCATATGAAAAATATTGTTGAAAAGAAAACTGGGAGATTAATTATACTCAGTAAATAAAAAGTAGAAAAATTACCAGTAAAACAAAGTTAATAATTTTGTAAGGTTTTATGTATGGGCAAGATTTTTTACAATAGGTGTCTGTGACTTGTTGGTGATACTTTTCAACAATATACAAACAGCACACAACTCACTGGTTTTAAAATAATATATTTATTAAACAAGTCAAATGTACAGGTGGATCCCCCTTTACGAACACCTGGTTAACGAAAATTTGAAGTTACGAAAAAATGTTTTATGTATCAAACTCAGGAGTTATGAATTTTTGGGGGGTAATTTTTGCCAATTCCTTTCTTACATTATTTTTTTATATATTACCTAATTTAGCCTAAAAGTTTCTAATTTTTACAATTTTAGTTACTTTGATAATAATAAATAAAGAATAGATAAGAAAAACAAAAATATATCACTCACCTGTGTAATCCTTTTTTTTTCTTGCCATCGACTGCCCTTCTATGTTAGCTGTAATACTTTACATCAATGCTACTGGTCCACAAAATGTTTTTTTCCACTAAGTAAATAATGCAAGGAAGAACAAAGAATAATTTCATGTAAACAGCTGAGAAACAGTTCTTTCTTTGAGAAATTTTCTAGCTCTCTAATCACGTGACTTGAGCCATTAGAAGTTCAACTTTATAATAGTTGGAGACAGCTTGAATGGATAATGGAGAAAAACTTAATATAAGTTTAACATAACAGCAAATGTACAACATTTTGACACAGTTGTATCCAGAGCTTTAAATAATTGACTCTATTTCATCAAAAGTACACACAAGCTGGTTTAGTTAATTTTGAACCCAACTGAAAAGACAAATTATTCTTCTCTACTGTGTTGTCTATATATATATATGTAGCCTGACTGAGACCTAGAACTTTCCACATACTACGAGATATTATGATACAATAATACTCAAGAAAAACATAGAAGGTTCTAGTAACATGATGCAATAATATAACAAGCACCAATTCACAACAATTGAACTAAACAACATGTAATTCACACAGTTACATAAACAAACCTGTGATAAACTATCACATCTAAAAATAACTAAATTTAACAATCTCACCATAGTTAAATAAAAAAATTTGTACATATCTAACAATTTTTTAACCTTCATTTTGAATAAACTTTTACCAGACATTTTATTTGAGATGGAAAAAACTAAATACGTGTCTTAAGCACATGTAAGTTTTCACACACAGCATAAGAAGCATTAGAAATTTTTTTGCATTTGAAACATCATTGATATTTTAAAAAGTGCCATAACATGTAAAAGTATAGGAATATACATAACAAGTACATGTTTGAAGTTCAATTTATTATAGCTGTTAGAATTATCACTGTAATATATTAGATGAAATAAATTGGGAATGTTCACATTTGTGGTCAGTATATGGTTGTTGTTTTCCTCAGATTGCATAATGAATTACAAATTTTGAAGAATATGCTTGAAGTCTAAGAATTAAATTATATTATAATAATAATAAAATAAACTGATATGACAATGTTGGCATTGAATGTTATAAGGTCTGGCTTGTTCGCAAAGGCTTTTAACTCAGGTGTAAGGGAGATTTATACTAGGGCTAGATAGTGGTGAGAGCCAGGATAAACTAAATGCAAATATTATAAGGTGAAGAGAATAGTTTAGCATATAATTAAGTATAGAAGTAGTTCTAAGGATAGGCTTAATTGTTACTATTATAATACTAGAAGTATAAGAAATAAAATAGATTACTTTAGGGCACAGGTAGAAATGGAGGATTTTGATATAATGGGAATAATTGAAACATGGTTAAGCACAGATGATTTTGATGACAGAAGTTAACTTGAAATACAGATTTGATATTATTTAATAAGGATAGAGTACTAGAGAGAAGGGCAAAAGTGGTATTATATGTAACATGTGAGTTGATTATATCAAAGATTATAGCAAGGCGATTGAATCTATTTGGGTTTCTATTAGTAGATATAAAGGGAAAAGGCTTTAAGTAGGAATATGTTACAGCCACCACATGATACTGATGAAATTAGTGAGAAACTTTACAATAACATTGAGATTTCAGCTGTTAATGAGGTCATAATTATGGGTGATGTTAATTTCAGAGTGCTAGAGTCAAACCATGAGTGAGAAAACTTTTCAAGATGGTTTTCTTCACTATATATGGAAATTGGGGAACATCTGGGTGCAAGTGGTCATCAAGGTTTGATGTTTTGCTGCATATGGAAATAAGGAATAATGATCTTTTGGTTACAAATTTTTGAAAGATGCAACAAGAATTATACATTGTGAATTTGGCAGCTGAGTTATTTGGAGACACTGATCAAATGTGAAAAAATTTTAAGAATGAATTTTATATATTCAAGATAAACATATTCCTGTAAGAAAAATCCAAGTTGGCTCACAAAGAGTATAAGAGATAAAATTAAAGGAAAACATCACAAATTTAAGAAATTTTAATTGACTGATATGACAGGAGATATAGGGTATCAAGAAAGTTGGTAAAACAGGAAATTAGGATATCAAAAAGGATGTATGAAGAAAGGTTGGCTCAAAATGTAAAAATTAACAATAAGGATTTCTTTAAGTACATTAAGGATAAACAAAATGTTAGGATGAGGATAGGACACTTAAGGGATGATAAACGAAGGCTTGTATCTGATTGTTATTAGATGGCTGGGTTATTAAATTAAGATTTTTCTTCAGTTTTAACTGATAAAGATTTAAGTATTATTCCTCATCTTGAACAGTTGATAGATGGAGACAAGGTTGAACAATATGATTGCATTAATTCTGAGCTAGTTAAGAAAAAATTGGGAAGTTTAAAAAATGATAAGGCTCCTGGGCCAGATAATATTTCCCCAAGGGTTTTGAAGGAGGTAAAGGATTGGATATGTGAGTCCACTTGCTACTATTTTTTGTCAGTCCTTGAAAAGTGGGCAGTTACCAGAGGATTGGAAGTTGGCTAATGTAATTCAGAAAGCATTTGACAAGGTGCCACATAAAAGGCTTGTAAAGAAAATCGCTCTGTAGGTGTGGGGATAAGTTAGCAAATTGGATAGAAAAGTGGCTGTATGGAAGAAAGCAGAGGGTTGTTACAAATGGAGTTCAGTCAAACTGGGTTAATATCACAAGGGGGGTATTTCAGAGCTCAGTCTTAGGACCTTTGCTCTTTTTTGATTTACATCAATGACATAGATGAATGGATAGTCAATAAATTACT